ACGCCACCCACCCCCGCCTCAGTACCCCCACACCCGCCTTATTATCCCCACACCGCCCCCACCTGCCTCAGTACCCCCACACCCGCCTTATTACCCTCACACCACACACACCCGCCTTTACTTCCTCTAGTGTCTCCTTCCTGTCCCTGTCCCCCTTCACGGCCCTCCATGGCTTCACTGTTTCCTCGTAGGCCCCTCTCTTCCCCTGTTTACTGTCTAGGCCTCTTTGGACCCCACAATCCTGTTCTGACAGGGGTTTTTCTTCTGGAGGTCCATTGGGCGGGGTGAATGAGGACCCGACCCCGGCACTCTCTGGCCATTGGGCCGCCTCCCTTCCACCACAGGTGGGACCTGTCCTGAGCTACACAAACCCGAACCCGCATTGAGGCAGCCTCCTGGGAAGGCGGCTCCTCCTCCTGGGAAGCGGCTCCTCCTACTGGGAAGCGGGCTCCTCCTCCTGGGAAGGTGCTCCTCCTCCTGTGAAGGGGGCTTCTCCTCCTGTGAAGGGGGCTCCTCCTCCTGGGAAGAGGGTCCTCCTCCTGGGAAGGGGGCTCCTCCTCCTCTTGGGAAGGCAGCTCCTCCTCCTGGGAAGAGGGTCCTCCTCCAGGGAAGCAGCTCCTCTTCCTGGGAAGGGGGCTCCTCCTCCTGGGAAGCGGCTCCTCCTCCTGGGAAGGTGCTCCTCCTCCTCCTGGGAAGGCGGCTCCTCCTCGTGGGAAGGGGGCTTCTCCTCCTGGGAAGGTGCTCCTCCTCCTGGGAAGGTGCTCCTCCTCCTCCTGGGAAGGCGGCTCCTCCTCCTGGGATGGTGCTCCTCCTTCTGGGAAGGGGGCTCCTCCTCCTCAGAAGTGGCTCCTCCTCCTGGGAAGGGGGCTCCTCCTCCTGGGAAGAGGGTCCTTCTCCTGGGAAGGGGGCTCCTCCTCCTCCTGGGAAGGTGGCTCCTCCTCCTGGGAAGAGGGTCCTCCTCCTGGGAAGCAGCTCCTCTTCCTGGGAAGCGGCTCCTCCTCCTGGGAAGGTGCTCCTCCTCCCGCCTCTTTGTTGACGTCTCTTTGCAGCAGGGCCGAACCCGTGCAGTGGGAAAGGAGTTAACTGGTCTCGAATTCTGGGCATCCACATCTCCTGGCACAGGCGCTGAGCACAGCAGGGCCTGGGGTTCGGGGGCGGCTGCACTCGGCAGCATGGAGGGCGCGAGGACCGGGAGGAAGCGGCAGCACGGGCGTTCGGGTGGGGACGTGCCGCCCACGCGGAAGAGAGCCCCCTCCTCTGCGCTGTGCCAGGTGTCACGGAACGTGCCTGTGGCGCAGGAGCCGCCCGTGCGCTCCGGGACAAGTCGGGTCCTGAACGCCGGTCCGGGGCAGCGTGCGAGCACCTGGGCCCTGTTATTCTTCATAGGAAGAGTCGCACAGAGGGCGGGAGCCAGGCTCCTTCTGGTGCCTTCCACACGGGGGGCGGGGCCCTCTGCGTCCTGTGGCTGACAGCCAGGATCAGCGCGGCCTCTGGGCGCTGCCTGGGGGAGCCCAGGTGTGCCTGTGTCTTCGCAGAGGCCGAGCTCCCCACCAGGCGGAGCCGGGGCCCTCCATGGGCGCGTGCGAGGGGGTGCTGCCAGCGGGGCCAGGCGCATGGGGCACCTTTGCCCGGGTGTCCCGACCCGCAGGGCCTGGCGAGGCGGCCTCGGGGGTGTGTGCAGCCAGGATTCCCCTGGAGCTCGGTGCCAGTGCGTCCTGTTATCGGTTCCCATGACACAATTCCTGGTTCTGCATCTGCCTTTTGTTATTGTTATTCTTAAAAATAGTCAGGGGGGTTGTTGAAAGGGAATCTGGGAAACGGAGCGGGTGATGAAATGCACACCCACTGATGGCTCCAGGAAGCCTCCCTGAGACAGGCCGGGGCCTTTGCAGAAACACATGGGGCTTATCTGGGCTGGGGGCACTCCAGCCAGGGCAGAGGGAAGCCCGGGCAGTTCCGTGACGTCAGCGCACCCCCCGCCAGAATCTGGGAGGGAGATGGGACCAGGCGTGGCGCTGGTGGCACATCCCTATCTCAGCGCCCATCAGGCGGCCGCGCGGGCGGTGGGTGGAGCAGGGATGTGTGCAGCTCACAGAGGCCCTAGCAGTGCTGCTCGTTTCCTCTCCATCTGCCAGTAGTCACAGGTGACGGGAATGTCACCGGCATGTGGGGGACTCGGGGACACCGCCCTCCGGAGGGAAATAAGCTCAGGAAAAGCCTGAGAGCGAGGCTCAGGCGACGCTGGTGCTGCCTCCACAGAGGTGCCGCTGTGGACCTGTGCGTGGCTCGATCCGTGGAGAGACGCCCACCACACCTTCCCAGCAACGCAGCTGGGACCAGGCCTGGCACCGTGCTGCCCATGAGGGTGGCCACTGTGGTGACCCCAGCTCTCTGCCAAGGCAGCCGGGCGCTGGCTCAGGACACTCACAGGCCAGGGCGGGACCAAGGAGGAAACACAGGTTCCTGGGGGGACGCCTTATCACAGGCGGTGAGCGTCACTGATGAGAGGCAGACTGGGGCATTTCTTTGGTATTTATAGATACTTGCTGGAGAGGCATGTTTCCCTAATACTTTCTCAATTTTTGTTTTCTTGCAGTAAATGAGATAATACGAAATGACCTCTCCGGCACGAGCACCCACTCATAGTTGCCACCTGGGAGCACTCAGTTCAGCGGGGTGTGCTGACTGCAGCAGACAAAGACTTGTGAATAAATACACTGAACACACACCTGGTACCACTGAGAACCTCCAATTGACTGAATGCTAGGAGCTGAAGATTAATACGTTCAAAGAAGTGGCTCTCCAGCAAGGAGGAAGGCCGCAAGGAAGGGAAGCCACCATCTCAGGACAACAGAGGGAGGTGGCTGGGCTGACACGGGAGACCTGCCACACAGGGCCGTCACGGGAACAGCCCACAGGCAGCCTGACCCCAAGCCCAGCCCTCTGGCACCCTGGGGTTCAATACTGGAAGTGCCTTATTTAACTAGAGTGTCAGGGCATCATGGAACTGAGCCTTGAATTTGCTACTGTGGGAGTATCTGTGGGAACAGAGACTGCAAACAGTTCACATGAGGCTTTATCCTTTGTGCACATGAAGACAGTGCTGGCGGGCTGCGGGAGGGCCTCGCACGCGTCTCCGACGTAGGGAACGTTTCCGGGGCCATGAAGTACGGTGTTGCTGGCTCATCCAGTGTGCTCTGGAATCTTCCAGTCTGTCATCTCAGCTCTTGGGTCGTGCGCTTCCCTCGCCGGCACCGTTAAGCCGTAGACTGTTCCCGGTCGCGTGCTGGCATCTTTGTTTTTAATCTGGCTTTGAACATAGCACAAGTAAGTTGAGTAGCACAACATGGGTTACTGGACAGACACAGAAGCCTGTGACAGGATGGGCCTGCGTCTGCATGTATGTACGTATCGCGGCATGTGCTTATGTACAAATGAACGGCGGAGATGATACGCCTCTCCCGGCCAGCGCTCCCGCATCAGCAGTCGCCGGTGTCCGCTCGGGAACGTGCGTCCGGCTCCAGGACCCCCGCTGCTCCTGATGGAGTCCAGTCCGTCGCCTCTAGCGGACGGCCACGTTTTCTCTTCTGGTGCGGTTCAGGGAGGACTTCAGAGAGCCAGGAGCTGGCACTCACAATAGCTGTAGGTTACCAGTTGGCAGAATGAGAAACTGATTGTAAATAACATGCAAAGCGAGTGCAGTGTGTTTGTCCAGTTATAAGGTTATTGTTTCACAGAAGCCTTACACTCTGCTTCATCTAGGAAAACCCAAACCAAAAGCAACGCTTTAACACACGGCCTGCGTGGCGTTTCCAGGCTAGTGACTGTGCACAGATGGGTTCGTGTAGGTTCTGCTACTGCATTTTGTACAATTAGCTGCTTATTATGTATGATTACTCGCCGTGATCTCTTGTTCCACATAACCAAAAAGCATGGTTTCTTCATTAAAACACGGCTGACCTGAACTGGTGCCTTAGGAATTAACGCCCCCTCATGGAACATGCCCGAACTGCACCTGCGGCTGGAGGTGACAGCGTGAAGTCACTGAGGCTCCTGCAGAAGGAACCCTCTGTAACGCGCGCCCCAGCACGACTGCTGCGCCTGTGTGTAACTCACAGGAAGAAACAGCCCGCAGGCCCTCCTGTGGGGCCGTGCGGAGCTGTGAGGACGTGCAGACGTGTGGCTGCGTGTACGTTCGCCCACAGCCGCAGGGTGCCCACTCTGCACCTGGCACCGTGGGACCTGCATGGAGCCTTTCTCCTTGACGGACTGTCATCGAGACGGAAGAGTTTGGTGTTTGTGTCAGCTGTCTTTGTAGTTAGGAAATGGATCCAATAAAGCCATATTTTTTTGCTGGACAGACTCAGTCTGCGAGTGATTCATGACGTGTGGAAGATTCCACTTTGTTCCTGAGTGTGCGTTCGTGTGTGTTTGTGTGCGCGTACTTGGACTGTCTGTAAGATGAGCCTCACATTGGGGAGGCTGTGCGGACCCAGCCACTCGCCCGTGGAAGGGCACCTTGCCCGGAGAGCTGTTCTCTTTCTTCTGTGTTTAGGTGAAAACTTGCCATAGAAGTTCGTGAGATGTGGAATAGTTCCCAGGCCCTCTGACCAGAGCACTTCAGAAACGTTCACCCGGGCAAGGTGGAGAAGGAATTCCTGCTTGTGCCAAATATTTTTGCTCCGAGAAATATCCTGGGTGAGGTTTTGGCCACACACAGTCACACGCCATTTGACAATCATCTGGCAGGGAATGCGTGTACAGAAACCACAGGCTCTCGTGGCTCTTCCACTTTTGAGCTGCTCTTCCGCTTTCCCCACCCAGGTTTCCTACTTCACATTCGGGTGGGAAAATATTATCTGGCCATTAGTCAAAGCATGAAGCTTGGAACTTTTACAGTAATTACTGTTCTTGTCTTTCAGAAACATTTTTCTTTTAGAACTTTATAAAATGCAAGAATTCTGATTTCTTTTGCTCCGAGCTGGACGGCCTGAGTTCAAGGACTGAGGAGGCCGTCACCACCTGAAGCAGCTCAAGGACTGAGGAGGCC